ATCTATTCTTCCTTAGATCCTTCTCCCTTGTCGTCAGTTCAAGGCCTCCACATTGCAGAACTCTAGGGATCACCACTCCCACTGTACTGTTCAGAGTAAATGTTTCTGAGGGTTTTCTCTGTGAATAGAATTATAATTTTGGTGGGTTTCTGATATAGTTGGGAAACACTTTTCTCTTTCTTAAGTTCTATGTTTGCTTCACAGGTCTTTGATTACTACTATATTAATAATGCTTTTTTAATATGTTGGTTATCACTTTAGCTGTTACCTGTTACCTAAACTGAAAGGTTCTTTGTGATTTTTTTTTTCTTCCTTTTCCGTAAGAGCTATATTGGAGTGGATTGAGCTTGGAGCAGGGAATTTGTTTAGGAGGATTTGTAGAAGTCCTACAAGAGATGATGATGGAGAGAGTGGATAAAGATATTTTGTGGTCTTTTATATGACCTTCAGAACCCTTCATGATCTAGTCCCTGCTCCTCCTGCAGCTTCATCTCCAATGTGTTCAGCCATTTTAAACTCCCTAAACATTTATTTACACAGAGAGTGTAAATAATGCCTGCCTGTGGAGTCTCTTTCTCTTTTTCCTCTTCCCTTGCCCTTGAGCTTGGTTAGCTTGTAAGTTTATGTGTCCTGCAGGACTCTTTCACATTTGTTACATGTTACCTTAACTATGTATATGTATCATCATTGGAAACTTGTTTTTATCTTCCTTTAGAATGCAAACTCAATAGGACCAGAGACTCTGACTTTGTCACTGCTATACCTAGAACAAGTTTAACATATTATAGACACTGAAATATTTGTTGAGTTTATCACATAGTGCTATAACTTTTTGACACACTGTCAGTAGAATATAAGCTCCACAGTGGTGAGGACTTTACTGTGTTCCCTGCTCAATAAATATTTTTTAAGTGAATGTTCCACTGGTCTGTATTCTTAGAGATAAGGGACTGGTTCTTATTTGTTACATCCTTGGTGCTTAGCATATAGCAGACACTCAAATATTTGTTCAATGAACAAATGAATTTCATAGATTCCACAGGATCAGGTGACTAATCAGACATGGGAGATGAGCAAGAGGGAGATTCAAAGATGATTCTAATGTGTATATATTTCATAACTTAAAATTAATCTTGTTTTGAGGACCTCCTGATACCTTGAAAGAACCCTGGTGTTTATTCCTTTTTTTTTACTAATTTGATCTCTTTTACCAGTTTGATTAAACCTTCTTAGAAATGTATTTTTAGGGCCGAGCCCATGGTGCACTCGGGAGAGTGCGGCGCTGGGAGCGCAGGAGCGCTCCCGCCACGGGTTTGGATCCTATATAGGGATGACTGGTGCGCTCACAGCACTCACTGGCTGAGCGCGCGGCGCGGCCGGTCTCAAAAAGGACAAAAAAAAGAAATGTATTTTTAGTTATTAGAAAGTTAATGAAATAATTCCTTGTATTTACATTTTCTGTTCTTTAATTGTAGTGACCTAGTTCATACAACAGAAAGCCTTCGGCAATCGAAATTATCTGCTGTGAAAGCTGAAAAAGAAAGTGCCAATTTTGATTTTGTTTTGGAACCCTATAAACTTGAAAATGCAAGGTTGAGTAAGGAAAATAATGAGTTATACCTGGAGTTAATGAAACTGAGAGAACACTCAGACCAACACATGAAAGGTAAATGAAAATTTGGTAATTTTTCAAATGCAGTATCTTTGCCTTTTTTGTTTATATGAAGGAAAGGCTAAAGTCTAATTTAAAAACTTGATTAGAGAATACGGTAGTCCTTCTACTAACAGCTGCCGAAATACTGTAGGGTGTGTTGAAGAGTTCCTGAGAAGGAAAATAAATATGTATTTTATAGCTATATTAGTCCTCACTCTATGTACATTAAATTTTTAGAATTAAAATTGCTATCAAGAGTATTAAATGCTGGAACTGAAGAAATATTCTTGAAACAACTTTTGTTTTTCCCTTACTGAAAATAAAAGTAGTAAAGTAAGTTGAAAGCCATGTATCACTCTGATTATTTCATAGTTGGTCTTTGAGCTAGAAGGTAGAGTAGGATGATTTCAAAGGTACTAGGCAAAAAGTAATTGTATGGTTATCTTATCATAAATTCTTATGTTCGGTAGAGAGCCCTGTCTAATACCTGCATTAATTCATAATTCTTTAGCTTCATCCCCGGTTTACCATATGAAAAGCCATGATGTACATTAGGCTTATACAGCAGCAGAAAAATATAATTCCCTTTTGTTCTTGGTAAGTTATTTGCAGTTTTGTTAATAACGGTAGAAAGGGTAATAGGCTTCAAACAAATAAAGCATGCATAAGAATCAGGTGGAGCTTTTCAAATTGATATGACTTTTTTATGAAATGGAAGAACTTTATAGATATCTTGATCTTTAAACTAGTCTTTGAATCTTTTTTTATTTTAAGAGTTGAAAACTACATTGAAGAAATGTGCACGCGAAACTGCTGACCTGAAATTTCTAAATAACCAATATGTTCATAAACTCAAACTTTTGGAGAAAGAGAGCAAAGCTAAGAATGAAAAAATTCAGCAACTTCAAGAAAAGAATTTGCACGCTATAGTACAAACTCCAGGTAAGTCTATTCCTTCTCAAAACAAATTATACACATTTACTTATTGACTGAAATAGGACTTTAGAAGTTCATGCCTAGACTTTTGTGTTTGAAAAGATATACTGGAGAGTCACATAAACATCTTCATTTATTTCTGAAGATTTAGATAGTATTTTCTACATGTGCTTA